GGTGTAATGCAGAGACGTTCTGCCACCACCCGCCACACTGCCCGCCCTAAGCTCCTGGTGAGAACAGAACTGCGGTCCACCTCCCTGGTCACTGGTCTGGGTGCCACCTCCACCACCTTTTCTTGTGTCCCTGGTGGCCGGGAACTACTTTTGAGCAAGAGGCCAAAGCAAGAAATTGCAGTAGATACTCAGAGCTACTTCTCTCCCTCCAACTGACTACTGGTGATTTCTGGGGACCTACTGAGTGCTGCTCCTGAGGCCAAAGCCCTTGCCTTTGTGATCACCAAACTGCCCTTTCTGGGAGGTGTCTGGGGGTCCCTCAGGTGGCCCCATGGGAGGCACGCAGCAAGCCTGGGAAGGAGCACAGGGCACTCACCATCGTGACGGGGGACCAGCCTTCCTGGCCCCTGGCTTTGCAAGCATAGGGCTAGAATTTCCCAAAAGGAGCTTTCCGATAAGAAGCAGAGAAAAAAACTGGCTGGAGTGCTGGCAGGAGACACATTTCTCACCCACACTTAGCTGGCTCATAGGAGCTGGGCTCCTGTGTGCGCATGGGTGCCTGTCCTAGCCCCTCACGCACCCCAGCCCCTCTGTCTGCCCTTGGCCTTCACCCTCCTATTCTTCCTGTAGCTGTCTCCAGGCCGGAGCACAGAGCAGACAGGGGGTGCGGTAACCCAACTGGAGACCCACACACTGTTTTGTGACTCACTGTTGACAATTCCCCATGGATCCAGGGAACCCAGCCTTGGGTGTGCCCCTCCCCTCCCCTCCCCTCCCCCAGCTCATCCCCCAGGCAAGTGGCAGGACAGCAGGGCCTGGTGACAGGTCTGACAACACCACCATGTCCAGCCATGAAGGCCACAGACCAACCATCTGATTACCAGGAAAACTGGTCAAATCCACCATTTGCACACAAACCACCAAAATACCCCAACAGAGGCTCTGACCTTCCACAAGAGAAATTCTGTTCTCGTCGCGGCCCTGAAACCCGGCAGAATGAACAGAACAGGACAAGCTTGTGTAACCAAATGCACACAGCTCCCCTGAGGTGTTGGGAAGCGTCGGTCTGGGCGTATCAAGGCTGATTCCACTGGGGATGGACACCACGAAGGTGGGACGTCCCCGGCCCTTCCCCAGTCCTCACCAGTCCATTGGGGATGGTCTGCTGCCCCTGATTCAGGTACATGTAATGGTTGTTGTAGCCCGTGGAGGTGTACACGGCCATGCTGGGGAAGATGGAGAACAGGAAGCATTTGTCGTCCCCTAAAAGTGACCAGAGCACAAATAAGCAGGATCACTGATCTGAGCCGGGCACGGAGAGAGGCAGGGGCTGCAAACAAACCACCGCTCAGAAGGCAAAGCGGCAAGGACCCTCATATGGGTCTTCAGATGTGCCCTGAGCCCACACGCTCAGGGGCTCAGCCATAACAGACTGGCAGGCAGCTCCCAGGCCCCGCAGAAGGTAAGCCTTACAGCCACCCAGGGCCCCAGAGGGTGAGCTAAGGATTTGAGGGGGAGAGTGACAATTAAAAAGAAATTTGACATCTGCTTGCTGGGGACACCTTTTTGCTCTCACCAGGGAAGCAGTGACAGGCACTCTGCCTGCTGTTCATCAGAAAAATGCATCCAAGTCAGGAAACATGGGTGGCCTTTTAACTTAGGCTCAAGGAGCCAGGCGATCACTCCAGGTACTGACTTGATGTTGGCACAGCCTCATCAAGTCAGCACTGGATGCTGTGTAAGGCTGTCTCCAACCTAAAAGAGGGTATCGTCCAGAGAGGAGGGAAAACCTGCAGACACGCAGCTGCCCCACAGGGGAGGAAGGGGACAGGCAGTGAAAGGTGGCCATCTACCTTCCTGCAAGGGCACAGGGTGGGCATGCTGCCACTGAAAGAAGGTACCAGCCCAAACTGTGGAAATGAAGAGCATGCTCAGCCTCAGAGCTCCCTCCCTTTCTTGATTCATTCCAGAAGCACATTCAGCACCAGGGAGAGGAATGGAGGCCACACCTTGGACCCAGAAAGCTCTGAGCTAAGGGGCAGCCAAACCAGAGATGCACTCCCTTAGTTGAGAGAACTTAGCCCGAAGGCCTAGCCCTCCACGGTGACAGCATGAGGGGCACCTGATGTCAAAACAGGCCACACACGCCAACTCAAGATCCTGCTCATGGTACTCTGGGGTCAGGCAATTCGTGGAGCGGAAAGGAAGGTCCCAGGAAGTAAATGGAGCGCAGATGTGGAGCCTGTGGACAGACACGTAGGAGGATTCGAGCCCAAGGGGCCTCAAGGGGCAGGAAGGGCAGGAGCAGCAGAGCTGAGTAAGTGACGCTCAGGCCTCAACCCAGACAGACCCACAGGGTGCGGTCAGAACGGTCAGGGAGCTTCTGGAGGCTGAGCTTCGGGAAGGACAGCCTGGGATGGACATGGCTGGGGGGAAAGCCACTCCCTGGACGGCCCCCCTCCCTGCAGCGACAAGATGTATGGCGAATGAGCAGGGTCCCTTCCCTGTACTGAAGGGTTTGTGATCACTGGGGCAGGGGAAGAAGGGAGAAGAGCCTGGAGCAGTCACCTGAAGTCAGATGACAGCAGGCTTTAGGCAAAGACTCAGGCTTGAGTCCAAGGGCTTGAGTGGCTCCAGCAGGTTGGGCAGTTTTAGAAGCAATGAACTACCTGGTCCCACCCGGCTGCCCCCAGTGCTGGGCATAGAGCATCACTTTGCTTTGCAGTCCTATGGCTGTCTTTCGACCAATATTTTACTCGGTCTCCATGCTAAGCAAAGTGATGGGGCCACAAAGCAGAGACCCCCCTCAGCTGCAATGGGTCCCACTCTAGTCCACCAGGGGGCCTCTCCTTAGCAGGGAGACCAGGTGGGGGCAGATTCTTTCTAGGACACGGAAGTAAGGACCGGTGGGATCAGTATTGCCTGCAAAAAAGTCACAACTGTGAGGCTCCCACCTCTCTCTCAGAATAACAATACTTGACAACCACCCACTGTGACACAATTGACAAGCTGCTTTCCCACAGCACCATTTCCCGTAATTCTGGGGAGCCGAGGCCCAGAGAAATCAAGCATCTTGCCCAGGACAGGAGCTGGACTCATGAGGCTCTGTGCTTGGTCCAAAGCCACAGGCCTTTCAACTGCACCACAGGCAACAGAGCAAAAGAAAAGTGACCCCATGGCTGTCACTTCACCTAGAGTCTCAAACTTTATAAGTTTCCAAGAGGAATGGACAAGAACCCTCTGAATTTGACCGGACTCTGGTGCAAGGCTGCCCTCTGCTGGAATTCCATCCTCATATTTCAGAACAGAAAGAAACTCAAGTTGGAGAACTTGGGAACTGCATTTTTCTGCCATTCTTCAAGAAAATTAATTCTGCTTGTTAATAAAACATTAAACCCAACAGTGCGAACCTGGAATTAATATTAAAGGAGCTGAAAGAAGTGAACATTTTATCTCTAATAAGGATTCTCAGGGTTTTTGTCCAAATCCTATAGCACAGCCTCCAACCAGAGACAAGCAACTCGTCCTTCCCCAAAGCCTTGAGATGGGGCAGGAGGGAAGATGTGCCACCCCCGGTGACACAGTGACAGGGAAAGGTGAGCATGCAGAATGGGGCTGCTGCAGGCCTGAGACTGCAGTCCCAGAAAGGCCTTCGGCTGACATCGGGGGACCTGGATTTTAGGAGGGTCCCACCACTCCCAGAACTGATCGCAGTGGTCCCGTGCCTAAATGTTTGTACAAACAGAATGATTGGTGCTGACCACCTGCCTTCCCCTGGGAGTCTGGGATTTTGCTGTGCCTGGCAGAGGGTGCACACGTGACTGGCCCCCAGTAAAACCCTGGGCATTGAGTCCCTGTGGAGCTTCCCTGGTGGACAGCACTTCACACGTGTCATCACAGCCCGCTGCTGGGCGAGTTCAGCATGTCCTGTGTGGCACCACTGGGAAGGGACTCTGGGAGCTAGTGCCTGGTTCCCCAGACTTCACCCCACACTGCTCCCTGTGCTAATCTTGCTCTGTATCTTCTCACTGTAGTAAATTGTGGCCATGAGCACAGCTATATGCTGAGCCCATGAGTGCTGCTAGTGAATCACTGATGTGTGGGTGCTCCTGGGAACCCCTGACACAGTGGGGAAGAGCTGGTAGCAGCACCTGGATTGAAGATCTGGAACATTCTAAAACCAAGAGAAAATAAAAATCCTAGAAATAACAGGATCTCTGGGATAGAGGTAACCAACCTTCATCTCATGATTCCTTCCACCCATCCCAGGCAAAGGGTCACCCTCTGCTGCTAAAACCCCTGCACCTGGACACAGCTCCCCAGCCAGCAGCAGCTCTGCTCAGCGAAGGAAAGACAGGAACAATTCCTGAGGCGTGCAGTACAACTGAGGACCACAGGGAGCACACGGCCCTTGCATGGCTGGGAAGGCTTCCTGGAGGAGGTGACCCTGGGCTGAGTCCCAACAAGAAGCTGGCTGTGCAAACGGGTGGAAGGAGGAGAAAGCAGCATGTGCCACATCCCGAGACGAGAGGGAGCATGGCCTGTTCTGGAAACCACAAGTCCAGTGGGACTGAGCATGGGTCGTAAGGGGGCAGGAGTGGATCGTGAGAGTGGAGATAAAAGGTGCACTGCCCTGAGGGCAGTGGGGCGTCTGTTAAAGGGTTTCCAGGAGAAGATCTGGGACTGGCAAATGGATTAGAGGGGTGAGACTAAAAGCAGAGGGCCAGTGAGGAGGCAGCTACACAATACTGCTGAGAGTAAGACCGAGAGAAGATGCGGGAAGGACGCAGGCAGAATGGGCGGGAGCTGATGACCGTCTGATCTGGATGGCAGTCTTCAACCAAGGTGCCTCTCTCTCCATCTTCCGCAACTCATGTCCCTGGATCCTCCCTTCCCCTGACACAGCCAGGGAGGGTGTTAACCTCGCCCCCTCATGGGGAGGGACCTACCCAGAATTCATGTAGTCCAGGGAGTGAGAGTGAGAATGTAGCTGGCCTCTCAGAGCCACTAGGAAAAGCCCTCTATAGCCGCTGGCCCCAAAGAGCCCTACTGAGAACACAGGCTCAGGCAGACAGGCCACACACCAGGGGACATGCAATGACACTAAGCCCTAGGAAGGCAGCTTCATCCCCAAGTATGCCCAGCAGATGAGCGCTTTCAACATAGTCCTTTAAAAATGTTTCTCAGAGCACTTTTCTTTGAGGAAGGGCAAGAATTCACTTAGAGCCATTCATTCGCTGAATTTGAGATCCCGCAAAGTTCTTCCAAACTCCAGCAAAATCACAAAGCCAAAAAACCATGGCAGAAGCAGTAAAGCAGACACACAAAGATTTCCAGGAAAGGAAGACAGTCCAGTGAGAGAAAACATCCCATCTGAAAGAATTGGCATCTCCCACTCCCTTATGAGGCCTCCCCCACCACCTGGACCTGGCACCATTGAAAAAAACCTAAAATCAGAGGCAAGGATACCTGTCCTGCTTACCTGACCCTGCTGTCAGAATCAAAAGAGAAATCCGTGAAGCGCTGACCCACCATAAAGCAGCATCATGCTTCACTTTCCTCCCGATACATCTAGGCAAACACTTGGAGATGCTGGAAGAAACGCTCACACCCTTTTTAAACACTCACATCCTTTGTTGGTGCTCAGAGGTCTCCATGCTGCAGCTGTCTGACCAGAACTCCTAACAAGCCCTGTGCTACCACTGGGTTTTGGTGGCCAAGTCTTACCTTGAAACTGAGGCTTGATTTCCCAGGAGCAGGAGGCAAACCCACCGAACACGTGGCCATCGTGGTCCCTGAGGAGCACCACACAGGGCCCTCGGTGGGGGATGCGCCCACAGAGCTGCGCAAAGCTGTGCCCATGGAGCTCGGACGAGAAGAGCAGATGCCAGCGGTGCTGCTGCTCCCTGGGCAGGTGGGAGTTCACATAGATGACAGACAGGACGTCCAGGAGGCTCTCAAACTCCTGCCCCTGGTCAACTTGACGCTCAGGGAGCAGAGTGGCCAGATCGAGGGACAAGCTCAGGAAAAAGCCTCTGTGGATGACCACACTCAGGAATGTGGCCACGAGGTGGGCCCTGAACACCCAGTCCTCAATCACAGCTTGGTCACAGGCGCAGTCCAGCTGCTGAGGCCCCAGCAGCTTCTTGCCATCTAGGGAAGAGAAACAGTATTAGTGGGCGATTGCCTCTCCATATTCCTGGTCACCTAAACCTGCACTGTCCAACACGGGAGCCCCGCGCGGCTTCTGAGCGCTCGACACGTGGCTTGTCTGCATTGAGATGTGCAGTAAGTGTGAGATGCACACCCAATTTCAAAAACTTGGTATGGACAAAAGAATATAAAATATCTCAATCATTTTTGATTGACCGATTGACAATATTAAATTACATTTTGGACATATTATTGAAGTCAATTTCACTTGTTTTTTTAATATTTTATTTTTTAAACCCTCACCCAAGGATATGCTTATTGACTTTAGAGAGAGGGGAAGAATGGAAGTGATATAGTGGTATTATGAGAAGGAAAACTACTGGTACTTTATATATATTATGTTATATTCTTTCTAAGTTCTAAATACCTCACTTAAATGAATTTTTGAAATATACCCTATTTTCAAACTGCATTTAAAAATCCAGCTTTATAATAAAACAGTAATACTTTTATTTTTTTTAATTTAAATGTATCTTTATTGTTGGAAGTATTACAAATGTCCCCTTTTTCCCCCATTGATCCCCTCCACCCTGTACCCCTCCCTGCAGGCCTTCACCCCACTATTGTCTGTGTCCGTGGGTTATGCATATATGCATATAAATTCTTATGTTAATCTCTCCCCACCCACCCCTGCCTTCCCTCTGAAATCCCTCAGTCTGTTCCATGCTTCTAGGTCCCTGGATCTAAAGCAGTGTTTAAAGGAAAATTTATAGTCATAAATGTCTATGCTAAAAAAGAAGGTATCTCAAATCTGTAACCTAATCTTCTAGCTTAAGAGACTAGAAAGACAACCAAACTAAACCTAAAGGAAGCAGAAGGAAGGAAATAGAAGACTTGGGTGAAAATAAAATGAGAGGCTAGACAAACAATGGAGACAATCCACAAAACCAAAAGTTGGCTGTTTGAAAATATCAACAAAAAAATAGACAAACCTTTAGCTGGATTGACCAAGAAAAAAAGAGAAGACTCAAGTGACTAAAATGAGGAATGAAGATCACCACTGACCTTGCAGAATAAGGGTTATAAAAAAATGCTATGAACAGTTATATGCCAACCAATTAGACGATCTAAATAGTCCTCCCAAGGTGAAAAACTCATGCTTTCTGATTTCAAAACTTCACTGCAAGGCTGCATTATCGAGATGGTATGGTACCACTCTACGCTGCCAAGGCCTCATAGTGTGGGCACACACGGGGCACTTGCCTGCAAGCTTCATCTCAGAGACCAGCTGAGCAGCCAGAACCTGCACCGTGGGCAGGGGGCCTGGAGATTTCTTCTGGGTCCAGCCTCTCAGCTCCTGTCTGTGGTTTAGCACGTGCACTAGAGAGCCAACGAGATCCTCTGTAAACTTGAAGATTATAATTTTACCATTAGTAACATTTCTACCAAGACAAGAGACCTATGCCACAACAACAAAGGGAAGAGTGTTTTATCTCTTCAATACCAACCACAATGGGGAAATGTAACTTAGGTGGTTATTCACTTTTCTAATGATCCCCTTGGCTGGCCTGGTTTTGCCAAGGCCTCTGTCCAGGAGTTCAGACCTCCCTCGACCAGTTCTGTGGTCTAGGGTTCTCCAAAGATGGACATCTCTGTGATGCTTCCACCAGCTGCTTGATCACCCCGAGTCCCCCACCTAAGGACACCGAGGCTACCTGGGATGACTGCAATGGTCCTCATGGCCTACCTTTTGGACTTCTCTTGCTTTCACAGGACCATCTGTGGCAGAAATCATTTTCAGGATCATGAGACTCTTCTCCTTGGAGTTCCCTTTCAGCAGGTGGGACATCGACACTGTGAACTGCTCCCGGGAGATGCTCTCGCTGGGCCCCTTAGCCTGTCCCGTCAGGTCAACCCTCCGCATGCCATCATACAGTCTGGTGATCATCTCTGGGGGAAGAGCTTGTCCAATGTGACTCTGTTAAGGACAAGAAGGAGAAAAGGCTAGACAGAGCCCAAGTTAAACATGGTAACAAGGGGACCATGACCAAGGACTGCCACGCCATGGTGCTTCTACCAGCATGTAACCTTCCTAAATCCCCACGTGTACCAGCTGTTCCCCATCTAAGAGCATCACATCACCCAAGGACCCACAAACATAACGTGTCCTGGCTTGTGGCTCATCTTGGCCATCAGATGCTTCCACAATCAGTTCCCATCTCTCCAAACTCTCCAATGTCCCCAGGTCGGCCATGTCATTCCTGCGTCTGGCCACCATCTGCTCTTCGCTCTGCTTAAAGCAGCCCCTTCATCCTACACTGACAGCTGCCATTTGCATGTCTGAATTTACTAACATATGGTGCATATGTCCATTCATAGCCAATTTGGTCTCCTCTGTATTAGGACTTCCAAATATATCATTAGCTAGCTTTCACGTCTGTGCTCAATATGCATTTTAATTAATTTTTATTTAAATTTAAAATCTAGTTCTTAATTAATGTCTTGCCAAAAATATTCTGTAAATATCGCTTTCCTTTAGACTGACATCAGATCAAATTTGGCCCGGGGATTAAAAATACATGGTGAGAGAAAGCAAGTCAAGAGCTTCCATCACAGTAGGGTCTGAATGCTGGATTATTCTGTAACAACTCTACAGTGTTTGTGACAGCATCGATATTCTGCAGTTCTTGTAAAGCTGGTCCCCACCCTGACCTCTCTCAAAAAGAGTGTATCTATTTCTGCAGGTGTTTTTGAAGTTCTACTAGAAAAGCAATCTCAGATTCCTTCCCAAAGGAAACTTTATACTGTCACCAAGGTTTTCTGATCAACTTAAACCATATTTACCTAGATAAACACTTTTGAACATCGCCACCCAGTCTGCGTGGTGGGTGGCCAGGCAGACGGGGGTCGTTTTGGTCAGTGGAGATACTTGTGCACATGCATATACACCACCCGTGACCCACATAACCTCTGCTCATCTGCAAAGCGAGTATGTGCGGGACCCCGATGCCCTTCAGCTCCCGCTCTGCAGAGCCAAGGAGAGGCGGCGCCTGGAATGCCTGCACGCCCTGCCACCCCGCCCCGGCCGGGAAGGCGGGCTGGTGCCGTCTTTGCCAGCGCCCTGCCTCAGTCTGAGTGCTCACAGAGGCAGTTAAAAGGCCCACGGAAGGGGGAAAGAGATGGGGAAACGGGCAGTTTTAACTCCTTGTCAGATGAACCTTGACTCTGAAACACCATCATTTTGTTAAGAGTACCATACAATTCCCAGGACATCAAACACGTACAAACCCTAAAGGCAAAGGAAACTTGAGACTGCGGTCGCTGGACCTACGAGACCTGCTAAGGCGGTCTGTCACCCGGAGGGAAGTCGGGAGACAACGGCCAACAGGCGGAAGCGGGGCAGGCCCCTCCTTTCACCCTCAAGTTAGAAATGTGATCTGAAGGCAGAGCCGAGTAGCTGTGACAGAGACCACAGCGGCCCACAAAGCTGAAAATATGTACTGTCTGACCCTTTACAGAAAAGAAACTTTTTAAAGTTTAGTCTTATAGAAATGGAGAGCCGACTCTGGCCCCGGGCCATAGTTTGCAGGCTCCTGCCCTGGACTAAACATTAACTGATGACTGTGACTCCTGCCTTCAGAGCCGTCAGAGAGAAGGATCTGGGCGAGGCGCTCGAGCCGCCTTTCTCCGATGACAGGGCATCAAACAATCTGTCCATCGCAGCCTGCTCCTCAGGAAGAAACTGCGAGCAAACGCTCGGCGCCGAGCAGCTTCTGCCATTCCCCATCTTTCCTGTATCTGGCAGGACTCTCTGCAGGAGGAAAAGATACCAAGTTAGAGAGAAAACTCAGAATGTCATAACCACAGAAAATAAACTCTGATAATTATACGATCAAGTTAATAAACACTGACTTAGCTGCGAAATGCAGCCAAAACACATCACAGCCACGTAATGTTGTTTCAACGTGGTGCAACTTAATAGTCAAGATCAACGAGTGTGAAAACCCAGTCCTGATTCCTATGGTCTCTGAAAACATGTTCGTAATTGCCAAACAGCTTTGCTATTTCAAAACACAGTTCCCAAGTTAATGTAACTAAAAGGTAGAAAAATCAGTATTTTAACCTAAATATTCATTTTTTTAAAAACCTAGTTGAAAAAAATCTGTTGCCTGGATGATCGCATGTATTTGAATAAAATCAACACCCTGAAAACATCATGGACAAAGGGCACATGCTATTTGACAAGTGTTCCTCTGTGATCGTGGCTGTGCCTTCCACTAGCTGGGTAGCCTTGGGCAAGCTACCGAAACTCTGTGCCTCAAGTTCCACATTTCTCAATAACCACAGCCCGCCCCGGCTGGTATGCTCAGTGATCACCAAAGGGTCGCAGGTTCGATTCCCAGTCAATGGCATGTACCTGGGTTGCAGGTTCTATCCCAGGCCCCCTTTCAGTATGTGTGTGGGAAGCAACCGATCAGTGTCTCCCTCACATAAATGTTCTCTCTCTCTCTCTCTCCCCCTCCCTCCCTCCCTCCCTTCCACACTCTCTAATCAATGGGGGGGAAATATCCTCGGGTGAGGGTTAACAAAAAATAAAAATAAAAAATAAATAATCACAGCCTTTCTCAGAGATCACTGTGATAATTAAATTATCCAGCCAATGAGCTCAGGAATGTTTGCAGAGACTAGTACCCTAAAGCAAGTGACCTTTGGTGATCTTTGTACATTGTCACAGACCTCATTACAGAAAGGGGTCAAATGCCAACAGATTCGTGGATTCAAAGAGAAAAGCACAGTCAGATGAAAAAAAATCTCTTAAGAGGCTAACGCTATGACTTCTTAATTTTTGTTCTAAAACTTAATTTGCAAATTCGCATTGGTGAAATTGCTGGAGAGACAAGCACTCCATAAACTAAGCCAATGCAAGTGTCAACCATCTCCCACCAGGACAGGGAGGGACAGGACATCTCAGAGGGCGCGAAGTGTATGTAACAGGCCCATCAAGTCCTGGCTATTCAAAACCTCAAGGGGGAATGGGGTACAGTTGGGATCTTTTCTTTCCTTCCTTTTTCCCTTCCCTCTCCTCCCTCCCCTCCTTCCCTTCCTTTTTTCTATTGAGGCCAGACTTGCTTAACATAAAATCCACCTTTTTAAAGGATACAACTCAGTGCATTTAGTACATTCCCAATATTGTCCAACATGAGCTCTACCTAGTTCCAAAACATTTCCATCTCGCCCAAAAGGAACCTTGTAACCATTACTAGTCACTCCCCATTCCCCCTCCCTCAGGCCCTGGCAGCGATAATGTGCCGTCTCTGTGGGATCTGCCTACACTGGACTTTTCATGTAAATGGAATTATATGTATGTGGTCTTTTGTGACTGGTTTCTTTCACTCAGCAGAATGTTTTCAAGGCTCATCCATGTCATAGCATGTGTTAGCACTTCATTCCTTTTCATGGCTAAGTAATATTCCAGTGTGTGGAAATACCACATTGGTTTATCCATTCACCTGTTGACGGACATTTAGGCTGTTTCTACCTTTTGGGTATTGTACACACACCTTTAATGTACTTGAGTCCCTGCTTTCAAATTTGGGGGGTACAGACCTCAGAGTGTAATTGCTCGGTCCTATGGTAATCTGACGTTTAACTTTTGAAGAACCGCCAAACTGTTTTCCATTTCTGTTCCCAGCAGCAAAGCACAGGTGTTCCAATTTTGCTCTATCCTCTCCAACCTTGTTATTTTTCCTGTCTTTTTTTGTTTTTGTTTTTTTAATCACTGCCATCCTGACAGGGGGACCCATCTGCCCTGAACAGAGAGGGCTCCTTGGAGAGGGACTGTGGTGCACTCACAAAGGCAGGCTGGATATGAGGCCTTAGCAACCCAGTTTAGGGCTGTCACTCACGGGTCATCTGATCTAAATGCTTCCACTCCTCAAGTTTCTCAGCAGCGTAGGAGCCAAGAAGGAAACCTCAAGGTCCAGCCTGCACGAGGCTTCCCTCATCTCTGGCACACAGTGAGCAGCACCAGCTGGTCCCTAGTCCCCCCAGGGCCACAATTCAAGCAGCCACGCCAAGACAGACCTGTCTCCTCCGTCAATTCTTCTAAGAGCCCCAAGAAACAACCTGATCGTTTAGGGCTACATTAGGAGACAGGCCATCATCACTTGGTTTTTAACCACGGTTTCCAGGAGGAGTAGGAAACAGTGCAAAGCAAATGGAGGAGGAGGGCAGGACATCATTGACTCTGCAGTTAATTTCCTACATCCCGCGTGCAGTGCACATTATGAAATGGCCTAAGGCACTGCCCAGGAGAAACCACAATAGAAAATATGTCCATGCCCCCTGGCTAAAGACAAGCAAGAAGCTGCATTTCTAAGTTGCTGCAGTGAGGAAGCGTGGGGGGCTCAGGATGCGAGGGGGCTGCCTTCTTGGGAGGCTCAAAGGGAGGGTTCAGCCTGGACTGGGTGCAAGTCAGCGAGTGGGTGTCTTAATTTTTAAAAAGATGCAGGAAGAACAGAATGGGGCTACAGTTGTCATTAGGAAGGACTGCACTGCTCGTGTTTACTAGGAAAGGGCCTGGGATTATTTGGGGAGCTTGCACAGTGGTCTTATCTTTGTCTGTACAGCGTATTCCTGCTTTTACTTTGTTCTGTCTCGGCTTTACATATGTCACTGGTAAATCATGACAACTTTAGTCAAAAGTATTTTTAGATTCATACTCACTACAACCACACCACACACACCACAACCAGGGAAATTCAATTCACTCAAAATCTGTGTCAATTTATCAGGTCACCAGAAAATGTGTCACACATCTCTCCCTGCATCCTCTCTTGTTATTCCGCTGAGATCCTGAAAATGGTAAATGTACAAATGTACTTGTGAAGTCCTTGCATTCTTAGACAGGGTCTTCATACAAAGATCACGCTTTTTCATGTCCTCTAGAAAACCTTAGGGCTTGTGACATGGGAAGGCCCATGACTTACCTAAACGCTGGAATCGATGAAGATCTTCCCAGCACCTGGGAGGGAAAGGTTTATGACGTTAGCCCACCTTCACTTCAAAGCTGAACTCTTGAGGCCGTGCCCACTCCAGGCAGGTTCCCAAGGCCAGCCTCATGGATGTGTGCTCTACTCAGGGCACCTTGCTCTCTAGGCGGTTCCTTTCTGCCCCTTGTCTGGTTCAGAGGGCCCTCACCCCACCATCACACTCAGTCTTCAGGTTCCAGACCACCCAGTATTTGTAATTTTCCTAGGGCTGACTGTTGTCCTAACTGAAATGGAGACAGGCCCATCCCTGCTCATTCTGCTTGCCCCATCCCCAGCACCCAGGTTCATGCCTAATTGGCTGGCTAGAATTTGACAGTCACGAAAGAGACTCTGCCCACAGCCACCTGCCCAGCACCTAAGCCAACCTGGCGCAAGCAGGTATGGGGGTGTGCCTGTCCAATTACTGACATTCCTTGCTGGCCTCTCGGGTAGACCAACGCATTCTCCCACCTCCTTGTGGGCTCCCATGTGTAAATCCCAGGAGGCTGACCTGGCCTGGGTCCTGAGAAGGCCCAAGTACCCCAGGTTCAGCTCCTACGGGACTCACTTCCAGGGGCCCATAGCACTCAGGGGTCCCTTGGATCAGTGCCACTCTCTCTACCATTCACAACGGGATGGCTCCAGTATGCCTCATTGCTGTACCCCCCAACCCACCAGGCCTAGCCCATGGCAGGGTCTCAGCACATACAGGATGCAGTTCACCCCAGCCCGAAGAACACAAGCCCAGAGCCACCAGGGAGAGCCCACAAAAAGGAAGGGATCTCAAGATGAAGCCACCTCTGGCTTTTTCTTAACATACAAAGACATCTAAATGCCACACCTCAGGTTCCCAGAATCCTGAGAAAGCTTCCTCCTTGCTCAAAACCAAGGACTTGCTCTCCTAGGGGATACCTGCCTCTTTAAGGGGTTTCTCACCCTCTGCCCTACTGACTGGGGCTAAAAGGACACCAACATTTAAATGCCACTCCTTAGAAGTATCTAGTGCACCCAGGGGTTGTGCCACTAAGGGGCCACAGGATCTACCTCTTGCAGACTTCCTGATGTCAACAAATGCATCTATTCCTTCTACACATAGCTCAGCATCTCCTGGGATGGGCGGGTCAGAGAGAGCAGGTGACAGAGAAAAGCCTCAGGCAGGCCAGGACTGCAGGAGCGTCCTGTTTAACAGGGAGAGACAGCCAAGTGCTGTGGGGATTGGAGAGAGAACACAGGGTTCGAGATGTGTTCTGGCTGGGTCTTCAGGCACCAACAGGAGGTTCACCTGGGAAGTGGGGGCAGTGCACACAAAGGTGTGGGGTGAACATGGAGATCAGGGAGGTGAGGTCTGGTGTGGGGAAGGTACCAGAAAAGGCTACAGAGCAAGGGGGCCCTCGTCTGCCCCTCACTTCCAGCCCACACCACCTCCTCCTCTGTCCTACTCGAAGTAGATTCCTCCACTATTGTCTGAAAACAAATCAGTATGGAGCAGCCCGGCCAGACCTGCCCAATGCCCAAACACTGCGAGAGAGGAACATGCTGGGCGAGCAGCCAAGGGAGGGCAGAAATGCACAGGAGAGGTGCAGACCATCAGCATGGGGCTGGGCACAGGACAGCACCAGGAGACACCAGGAAAGACCCAAAGGCAACACCAGTTTTTCTAGTAGGAGAGAGAAGGGTGAGTAGCAGCCTCAAGGAGGAGCTTCAGGCCGATGGCGGAGGGGCAGCCTCTAACAACATGGCCCTACCCTGCCCCACCATTCCTAGTCTGCAGAGCACCGGTTTAGGGAAAGATCACAAAACAGCTCCAATGACAACCCCACCTCCTTTGGAAGAGCTTCTGCAAGGCCAGATAAAGTAATGGCAATGGTACAGTGTTCCCCAGTTCATCCATCCTAGCCTTGGTGGCTTTAACCATACCAGGAATCTCTGATCGATTTTGGAAAGGACATGGAGGCATTCCATGCATCCTTACTTCTCCCCAAATGCAAATTCCTGGACTTTCTTTCAAGTCCCCAGCAATGGCTTTCTCACGGGACTGTCCCAGGTGCATCTCGCCATGCAGGACAGACTTTTTCCCCGCGAGTTGTGCATACAACCACCCTCCGCTGGCCCGAGTCACCTGTAGGTTACCCATATCAAGTTCTCTTTCAGGAGGATTGCACCTCAATGTTCCTCTAAGACCTGACCCTCTGCTCCCCCTTTCTGGGAAGAGTCCAACCACCTCATCTGGACAGAAGCATTTAAAGCCCTGTTTATGGGCCAGCAGTCCTTCTGCCAAAGGTCAGCTTGGGCCGGAGCCAGCCTTCAGCAGCAGAGTCCTTGCTGGCAGGAAGGTGAACTGTCCTGCCAAAGGCTGGCTTCCTCCCTCCAGAGAGCCCCACTGACTCATCTGCAGAGGTGTCAGCATAGGAGTGCTTCCCCCCTTCCCTCTACCCTGAATTCAGTGACCAGACTCAACTCACCTGGGGGAAAGCTAGCAGGCGGCGATCAGAACACCAGGAAGGAAGGTAGGGGT